GTTTTTTTTGGGGTGGGTTTTTTTTTTTTTTTTTTTATAATTCTTTATTGATAGGAAGCATGAATGAACTTCATTAAGAAGTAGAAATATCTGTTACAATAATTGAATCAATGATTGGTGCAGGTTCCTCCAACCAAACAGAAACATTCTAACAAGAGAGTGCACAATGAAATAGGACATGTGCTGCCCTGTTCCCATTTTTTGTATTTTCTGAATGAACCAACTTGGACCATATCTATCATGTCGTTGCAATACTCAAGTGAACTATAAGATTTAATTAAGCAACAAGGTCAAAGTGCCTCTTTCTGTTTCATTAATTAAATGCCTATTTCATACCCACCAATGTCATGGATCAAGCTGGTTAGAGCTGCCAGTTATAAGAAGTTAGACAACCAGCTTACTTTGCAATATTTAAGCCACAAAGAGGACATGAAAACTTAGTTTTCTGAGGCTCAGATGCATGACTATAGGTTAAAAATCATAGTAGCACCAGATGCATGACTATAGGTTAAAAATCATACAAAAATATCTTGCTTAGTTGCCTCTTTAATCAACTTAACCCCCCATCCATATATTTGACAATATCGATGGAAAGTACTATTTGCCAGGAATGAATGACTAGTAGCATACCATATAGGACACAACATTAAAATAGATTACCTCCTGGATCGGATGAGATCCTTTTCCTGTTCCATTAGTCCACCAAGATAGCCAAAACCGTCAACATTTTCCCAGAAACAAAGGCCCTGCTTGGACTGTGATTTTTGCCAACCAAAAAGAGAAAAAAGGTTCCATAAGACAATTCATAAGAAATTATATTTATGCATATAATTTACAGGAACATACAGCTCAAGATTCAGGGTTACTAAAAAAGTTGAGCAGAAACAAGAAAGGAAAGGTAGGAGCAATTTCTTTCCCCCCCTCAATGTCCCTTAAAGCATCACATCTTCTGGAAATTCAATGGAAAGAACTTCATCATTGTGTTTTATATAGAATGAAATGTATCTGTTTAATACCTAAGAATTATGAACTTAAACATTTAACATGATCAAAGTTTCAATTGTCTTCTATTTTTCATGATCGGTTTTCTAAAGCCACAGGGATCACCGAGCCAGAGATTCAGAAGTCAAATTACCAGAAAAGAGCAAGAAAACACTCACAAAGTAAAATGTGGATTCAGCCTATAATTTAAAATGAATATTTTTCTTTACTTCATCAATTCTATCATGAAGTTCCTGCTGGTGATCCATGTCCAACTGGCACATTTTACTAGCCCAGTCAATTTTTTCTTCAATCAAGGGAAATACAATGTCTGAAGTGGCTAACCTGAAAGTTGCAAGCAACGGTTGTCACATGGGCACACCAACTTTACAAGAAGCAATAAACACAAGGAGTTAAAAGGAGATTGGATAAAAAAAAAAGGTGTGTGTGGGCCGGGGGGGGCATTTAGAAAGAATTCATGCTTTGGTGAAATTATTGCAAACACAGAACAAATTTTAGAAAACCCAAAGCAGAGAACAAAATCACATGTTATACACTGCACAGATCTACAGCTGCTTAAGTTATCCAATAGATTCCAACAACAAAACAGTATTTCAAAGTACAATTTGATTTCCATGATCTCATCCAAGCCAATAGAAACCACCAGATATCCAGTGTGACTACCAAAATGCGGCAACAACACCAGACTGACTTTGTCCATACTCACCCATGACAAACCTAAAACGGATAACTCAACATGAATGAGAGATTCTACAACATTTGTTGCTGCATTAATCTACCTTATCTCAAGATCTTGTGAAATATTGAATGAAAACTGAATGAATGGTTGGAGAATACCTTCAATGGTAAGTGGAATCTCCTTTTCATGTCAATCCACAGTAGATCTCAATTGATTTTGTAAGACGACCCTAATTATGAAATATAAGTAAAAACTCAAAATTTTCAGTTTTACCTACTGGGAGGTTATTAAAACATATTTACTGCAGTATTTGGCCATACCATGATGCCAAGTTCTAATAATGCATGCAACATGACACCTTAACAGCTTATCTCCTTCGGTATTCCTATTCTAGGCTGCAAATTATTGGTCTGAAAACCACCTAAGATTACCTCTTGCCCCTAGGGTTAGTGAAGGCAAAAGATCACAAAGCGTGATGTAGAAGGAGACATTAATGAATACAACATCAAATTATTTGTCTCCAACAACTTCTTAAACAGAACATAATGCAGTAACCAAGTAATTTAATAAGTTCAACCATTTAGATGCACATCAATAAAAAGAAATGTTCTCAGAAAATGTGCTTCTTTATAATGCCAAGTTATGGACAAAAATAAGGTGAAGCACCTATTAACATGACAGGAACAAGTCTGACCATGTTTAACTACCAAGTCTATTAATTGCAAATAACTTGAACTGAGGCACAATCACTGCACCTAGACAAGCAAGAGATGTTCTACCCAGGAATCCTTCTTAGAAATGCAGAAACTAAGACGACTAGATACGCTTCAACAAGACTCTTTGAATGGGACATGTGTTGTAAAATACTGGAAGTAAAGCATTTCTATTGAAAAAAGGGAATGCAAGCCAACCAAATTCCCAATGTATCTATCATACTCCCAAGCTGGCCATGCATGAGATCCCTCCCTGCTGCAAATTGCAACTGAAAAGGAAATAACCCATCAAGCATTAAATTCAAAACATTTATTAAAGACTTAAAGAAAACAAACAGATGACTTCCCATGGTGATTGATTAAACCTCATAACATCTTCCCAGCTGATTCAACTTGCCTTTGACTATGCCCTATAAAAAAAAAAAGCACTACGAAAAAATCATTCTGAATTAATTAACAGGGAAGTTAAATACATGTTTCCAGTAGCTGATGCAGAAATGGGGAGACCCGCTGCATAGACGCACTCATTGATGAGGAAGTCTTCAAGTCCATGCACGTTACAAATCTCCAGTTCCTCTAGCAGTTCATTGTAAGAGAGAACCTACAAGAGGGATTAACTAAAATTATTACAGCAAAATGACACATTTTTTTCTTCTAGTTCCTTCGACAAGTACATTAATGAAAACAACAGGACAGTATGATAACAAGCAAGAGTTTATCCTGCAGAACATAAAGCAAGGGGAAAACTGGGGCATAAAATTCTAATTTTGCAACACAAACTGAAATCCCACGAAACAAAATACACACAATAAAAGGAATTGAAGCAATAAACTCAATCAAGGATGTAAACTTTCAAATAAAAAACACGAACAATAGTCCTCATATTTTAAAAGCCAGTACCTTATTGGTCGCAGAAAGAGTAAGCACAGTGAGTTGTTTGAGCTTGAGAAATTGATCAGGTGACAGCTTTGGCAGCATGCCATTATTACCTCGAGGATTCAAAACCCATAAATATTCAGACATTAAAAAATGAAATAAAGGACCAAACGAGAGTAGCTCAGCAGCATATACTAGTGGCACAGGTGGAACTCAATGCAAGGCCAGAAAACCAAAAGGAGTTGATGGAGGGTCTCTAGTTCTGAAAAATAGACCATAATACAGGGCATAAGGCCCAATACAACCAAACTAGGCCTATAAAATCAGATAAAGACTGCATTCTGCGATGTGCCTAACTTCAGTGTGAGCCCTAGTTAAAACTTAGTTTTTTTTTTTTTTTTATATATATATATATATATTAAAAGTATTTTTGAAAACAATTAAAAAATATAAATTTTTATTTACTTCAAATTATTTTTTATTTTTTATATCATTTTAATGTAATAATATAACAAATTATTAAAAAAATTATTTTAATATATATTCAATAAAAAAACATTTTAAAAAATATCACAACTATATTTTTCAAATAAGTTACTAGCGTTCAAGAAGCAATAATATTTAATTTGATTATTTTATTCTTAAAAATCGATAAATGATAAGTTCTTTTTTTACAAACTGAAATGGTTACGACATTGTATTTTAAAGCTATATATAAATTAATTCTTGCCTTTAAATAAAAATTATTTTGATACATAAAAGAAAAATAAGAAGTAGAAGAATTGTTGTTGTAATTCTTTGTTGTAAAATATCATAAAAATTTGATAAAAAAATACAAAAATAATTAAACTCCACTAAAAAAAAAATCATTTATGATATGATCAATAATCAATGAAAAAATAACCTATAATAGCTTTATGATTTTTTTATGACTTTTTGATATTTTTTGAAAAAAGAAATAAGACTTGCATAAACACCATTTATGATATGACAAATTAAAAATAATAAACCTTTAATATCTTGATGAATTTTTTATTACTTTTCAATATTTTTTGAAAAAGGAAATAAGACTTGCATAAACATTATTTATGATAGGGTTTTTTTTCCCCCGTTAAATATCTATACAAATACGTAATCAGTTATTTATTTTTCAAATGACAAACTGTTTAATCTTTCTAAACATGCTGTAGTTTATATATATTTCCACTGATTGATTTAATTATTGTTACAGTAATGTATGCACACAAATATTCATAATCCCAGCATGATCTATGAAATATAATTAACAATAGCTAATTCTCGTTTGAAAAATAGTGTTCATATAGTGACAACATTGTTAATTGTAACAATATAATGGCAGTATTGCCTTTTACATCAGAAATTTTCACATGATAAGTAAGAAAGAAATGGACGGGCCATTGACTTAGATTCTGATCAGTTCAGCACTTGAGCTGAGGGGAAAAGGAGATTGTAGCGAAGGAACATCTAAAAAACCTTCTAACATTTCCAGGACCATCTTCATTGAAGGTCTCTTTGAAGGTTCTTCTTGAATACACCACATTGATACCTCTACCCACCTTTTCAGCCTCTCTTTGTCATCCATTGCCACCTTGTCGTCATCCACCAAATGATAAATTCTCCCTCCGATATAGCAATCATAAGCCCAGTCTGTAAGTATTGCTCTTTCTTCTTCTCCTTCTTCAAGGTCCATTACGACGCTCCTTCTGCAGCAAATGATCTCTAGTAACAGCACACCAAAACTGTAGACATCCACTTTAGCAGTTACAGGCACATTCTTGAACCATTCAGGGGCCACATAGCCTCGTGTTCCTCTGATCATCGTACGAGTACGTGTTTGATTTGAGAGTAACAGTTTTGCCAATCCGAAGTCAGATATTCTTGCAGAGAAAGAGTCATCTAGAAGTATGTTTTGAGGCTTAATATCACAGTGGATGATTGGGAACTCACATTCCTCATGCAAGTAGAGAAGCCCTCTTGCAACCCCCAATGCGATCTTGACTCTCTGATGCCAATCAGGTCTTGGAAGTGTAAAGAGAAAGTTTGCTAAAGTGCCATTGCTCATGAAATCGTAGATCAAAAGCCGATGAGACCCTTCATCACAGTATCCAAGCAACCGGACTAGATTCTTGTGATGAGTCTTCCCAATTGCACTCACTTCAGTCCTGAATTCCCTCTCCCTTTCTTGAGCCAACTTGTCCAACTTCTTGACCGCAATGGCGTTTCCTGAACTTGATCTCATGAAGCCTTTATAGACTATGCCAAAGGAACCCCTGCCAAGCTCTTCCATAAATCCATCAGTTGCTTCTTCAAGTTCCTTGTAAGTGAAGGAACGCAAAGTTGAATTATAAATGCTTGAATCTGGCCCTGCCTTCTTCACTTTTCTCTCGCTCCTTCTGAACAGAATTAGAAAAGTAACAACCAGAAAAATCACGTTGAGAAATGCAGAACTACCCAGAAGGGCACCTAGTAGAACCGGTTTCTCTTTATCACTGCCAACGTTGCAATAACCAGAAGGAGGAACTTCTTTCCTTACTTTGAAGAGAATCTTTGAAAAACCCGCCCTCTTGTATCTTCCATTGGAGAGAGGCAGCCTCTTCTTCCAACATTGACGACCATCAAAAATGGCAACAGCACATGAACAATCATATAAGCAAGACTTTTCACATTGCGTCTGATTGTATGGTGATAACCTTTCGTAATCATTCAATGGCCAATCTACATTATCGAACTGCCTAATTTCGTATAACTCTTCTGGGTCTCCCCGTCCATCATCTAGCCCACACCCTTGTGGAAAAGTTGGTTTGCATCCGCCAAGTCTGTTGTTTGGATCCAGGAAAACATATCCAGGAGGACAGTCACAAGTGGGCTTCCTATTTTCTTGAATTGAGCAGTAGCTATTGAAACCACAAGGACCACTACCAATATCATTAAATATAGCCGTGCACTGGAGGACAGTCTGGCAACCAACCTTGGTTATTTGTAGAATTCTTTGGAAGAGAATATTGAGTGAAGACACCATCAAATCCCAAAGTTGCTCGGTAATAGTTATCACCAGTATAATTTACACGATTCCAGTCAGGAAACTGAGCAATTTCTCCATTCAGTTTAACTATGTAAACGTTTGCCGATTCATTGAAAACCAACTGATAGCCAGACTCATAAGGATCTGCATTATATGTATGACTGCTATAATAATGATCATATTGAAATTCACTAGGCCAAGCAATAGGATTGAGCTCGAGACTGCCATTCGAGAAGTTGAGCTCAAACCTTCCCTTTGAGTAGTTGGTTTCTGTTAATCTAGAAAACAGCTTGCTGCCCAAATCCAATGTTTGGGTTGGCAAGATAGTGTCTGTAGGATTCTTGAAAGTCTCCCAAATGTAAGTGCTAGAATCGTTACCTTTAAGCACAAAGTTCCCGGTGTCAAGCATGGCAGCAGAGATTGCAGGGGTAGCTGGATTTGCCTGCCATATTATTAGACCTGTAGGATTCGTCAACACAAGATTGCTAGATGTCAGCTCAACTTTTGATCCTCTTGGAAGTGGGTTGTTTCCATTGGCATGCCAAACAATGGTCCTATCTGGAATCATGTCGAACCAAATGGCGAGCAAGAAAAAGTTTGAATTGCCCAGTTGACGGAAACCAAAAGCAAAATCCCCTGATGGTGAAAGCCACGTATTTCCATCAGTGGTCAGTGATGAGGTCGGAGTTACTATAGCCATGGATAAATCGAATTGAAGGGGAAGGATGAGAAAAGGAAGGATGGCAAAAGAAGCCATGGTAAAGAGACGTGTTGATCTCAGAGAAGCTGTGGTGCAAGGTATTTGGAAAGTATAAAGTGTAGGTCGTTTTACACAATTCACAAATCATCTATAAACTGATAGAGGATCTCGAAGTCCAGATAACTTTTGAGCTTGAATCTTTTCCTATCGACCTCTCCTTTCATCAGACTATTTGAAACATCGTAATTGATTGACTTAATAAACTTGACCGACCCGATCAGGTGAATACTCAACTCTTTGATTTTTATTTTTTTTTATCTAAAATCACGTGGTTTTATTTTTCTTTTTAAAAAATATAAATCTAAATCTAAATAAAATAATAAAATAATATCATTTTAGATTTACTCGGTAAATTCAGAACCTTGATTTTAGACTGGATGTGATAAAATCTTTAAACCGGAAAAGGCTCCAAGTTCTTGATTTCTTGGCACCTGAATACATTCACGGGGAGAAAAGAAAAGGACAGCTCACCTAGCGTTAAGGAAATATATAAAAGAGACAACGTAGTTACGTGAAGGAACCTAACATTGTGCTTTGAAATTGCCGAGTTTTGTTTGGGTTTGGCAAGTCTTTTAATGCAAATTAATAAAGCAGGAAGAATCCAATTTTTAAATTAAAGACTGTAAAAACTCTCCCTCCTCCTGTTGCCAGAATCGGCAATTAATCTCAAATAATAAAATGGAGTGATTTTCAGAATCATAGCTAAACCAGAGGTTAATTTACCTTTATATATATATATATATATATATATATAATTAAAGTGAAGGTTTAAATCAACTTATATACACTTTTGATTAATCCTACAAAATGTAAAATTAATAATCAATTTATGGATCTTATAAAATTAATAATCATATAAACTTTCATGGTCAATCTTCCTTAATTTTACAGCATGTTGTTGCAGTTTCAGTGACCTTTGAGCTCTAGATTTTGTAGCATTTTCCTTCGCATCTTCCTCTGAGGCTGTCAATTGCTTGGAGAAAATAGGCCATGCTTTCTTTAATCCACTAAAAGAAGAATAAAAAACATAAAAATGATTATGTTGGCATCCATTTAAAAAAAAAAAAACATGATCGACGGAGAAAAGGGTCAAGGTTGCTGTCCAAGTATTTGAATATATTTAGAGCATCTCCGATAAGGTAAATGAATAACTAAAAATAAAAAATTAATATTTTAATTTTTTTTTTTTTTGCATACTTCAAAAACAAAATCAAATAAAATGCTAAAATATTTTTTTTTATAAATACTATTTTTATATATTTCTTTAAAGAACCAAAACCAACAAAATGAACCACTAAAAAAAATAGACCAATTAAATATAAATATATATAAAAAATAACATTAAATATATTAAAAATAATAAAATACTTATTTTTTTTACTCTAGCTCTTCAAATAGTTTTTTTTATTAAAATAAATATAATAAAATAAGTTATATTTATATTATTTAAAATATTATTTTATCAATTTAACTTTTATTTTAAATTGGAGATGCGCTTGCTTTGAAGCATGCTGCTCTCCTTGAATCAAAAGAGGAATTCACTACAAAGAGATGCAAGCTAGACTCCCTCGGTGCTGTCCTTTTTGATACACCCTCTTGGGCTGTTTCCCCTATCTATTGATAGTTGTATACTCAAATCTTACCTACTAACGTTATTCTAGCTGAACCAGGCTGGCTCTCAGCTATACCCGCCACAGCCGCCCTTGATAGCTTCGATGACCTGCCTTTCCCAGACAAGAATACTTGGGAATTTACTACTATGGATCAACCAATTGGTTGTGACAGAACGGAGAAGGGGAATTTGTCTGAACTTTCTCTTCCTGGGAGCCGTGCCGTGAGACTACCTAACCGGTATCGACCGGGATCTCCTTTTCCAGGGACAAAGAAAGAAACCGTCTCGTGGTCTCACCAACCTCATGCTCAACGCGCGGTATGGCAGTTCTGAAGCTCCGAGGAACCGAGCACCAGCTCTCGATTCTTCCTTTAGCCGTGGACCGTGGAAGCCAACTTGGAATATTTTTTAAATTAATCTAAATCATGAAAAAAAATAATAAAATATAAAAAATTATAAAGTTTTTTTTATTAATATTTACTTATATTAACTTTCTAAACTTATAACTCGAGTCATTATGATCATAAATATCCTATATAAAAAAAAATAATAAAGGCTAATTCTTCAAAAATAATTTTAATTATACAAAAGATTAAAAAATAATAATTAAAATTAAAAATATGCATCAATTTAACAAAAAAATAAAAAAAATCAAAAGAATGAAGATCAAAATTGACATAACGAATGAAGATTAAAATTGACATAAAAATAAAAATATTTTTTTTATTGAAGGGTGAAATTGAAAAAAATTATTTTAACAAAAAAATATATAAAAAGAATGAGGACCAAATTGATAAAAATAATATACCATAACTCTATATTGAAAGATAAAATTAAAAATAAATTAAACTTTTACAAAAAGACTAAGAAAAAAATAAAAATCAAAATAATGAGAAACATATTGAAAAATATAATATCATAAATTTGAATTGAAGAATAAAATTGAAAACCAATAAAAATTTATAAAAGAGTCAATGAAAAAACTAAAACTAAAAAGAATAAGGACCAACTTGAAAAAAATAATATATGTCAAAATGAAATTAATGAATGAAATTGAAAATAAATAAAACTTATATTGGGCTAAAGTTGAATATTAATAACAAAAAAGATCAAACTATATTTTTAAAGAGAGGAAAAGAAGATTATCATCGACAAACCAGACTACTATCGTAGATATGCGCCACTACACCAAGAATAGGATGTGGGTTATTTTTAATGGCATGATATGAGGATATTTTTGGATATGGGGAAGCATCACATGCTCCACCTAAAAGGAACGAGCACCTCCCATATTTGTCGAAGAGTGTGTTTCATGCACCTCACCTTTTTGTTATTTATTATTTTTATATTTAGTCAAATATCAAATTGTCTTTAAACTGAATTAATAATAAAAAAATCATTTTAAAAGACCAGAAAGCTCACTGACTTATGGTTTATAATTTTTGCTATTAAAGATATTTTTGTCATTATCATTATGCATTTTAATTGTTTATTATTTTTTTATATTTGATAAAATATCAAATTACCCCTAAATTGATATTATAATTGTCACATTTGACATCGCAATAACTTAAAAAAAAATTCATAAAGAAAAGAATAGATTTTTTGTATCTTGTTCTTTGGTAGGAAAATATCTTGTTTAAGGAGTTGTCATTTAGCATTATAATCACTAAGAACTCTAACTCGTCAATAAAAATTCTATGGTACAAGACTAGTTACCTAAAATGAAAGATATTATCACCCTTTAAACATCTTGCCTGTATATAGAATGCATTGCTAGTTTTGTCTTAAATTGCTAAAAGTTTGTGGGTGTATGACATGATAGTTTGCTTGTAATATTCTTGACTCTGGCATCGATGAATATTCAACTACGGATACTTCCAACTTTGGCACAGGTAATTATTATGTAGCTAAAAAAATAAAATAAATTTTAATCAATATTATTATTCATAACTCTAGCGTAAGTGAATAAATCAATAAAATAAATTCATTTTTAATGCATGCATATATTTTTTTTATTTTTTTAATAAAAAACTAGATTTGCATTTTACAGTAAAAATTCACAGATTAATTATATAATGAAATACCTAAAAAATACAAGGGACCTACAAATAAATTCACAAGGACCCACGAATATTTTTGGAATTTTTTATATTAAAAAAAGCTTGTTTGACTAAATATAAAAAAAAATAAAAAGGACTAAAATAAAGGGATTAGTCCAACTAGGCTGGAGGTCCAGGCTTGGCCCGCCCTACTCTTTTTTTAGATTCGGTCTGACCCTCTTGTATGGCTAGGTTGGACCGAGGCTGGTCACTGGTTCAAACCAGTGATTCGCTTGTCATTGTGAATGCATGCGTGAATTATTGAGGCATGCTTTGCATAGTGCTAGGGTAATTATATTTCCAAAGGTAGGGAAAACAAAAGCTTACCTGTGTAGCTAGGGATGAAGTTGAAGATGATGGTGTATCGAACGATGCTTTTTTTGTTCCTCTTTTTGTTTGTTTTCTCTCTGGCTATTCTTTTTGTCGGCTCTATTTTCTTTGTTTGTATTCTCTAGTTTCCTCTCTTCTTTCTTTCCCTTTATTTCTCTCTTCTAGTTTTTTCCGTTCTTCTTTTCGTTGAAAAAGATGAATAGTGTTCCTTGAATTGTTTGTTTTTGGTCTGCACAAGTCGCCTATGCTTTTCTCTCATTATTTGTATATTTTTTCTCCCCTTTATGTTTTTTTTTCTCTAATTTGTGTTTTTAGGGGTCTCGTTTTTGTTCCTTCTATTCGTCCTCCTCTAGTCTCACCCTTTTGTGGCCTTCTCTAGCTTTTATAAAGCTAGAAAATGGTCTTTATTCATGTGTTTGTGCTGCACTATCATGAGGAACTAATGCCTCTATTTCTTTAGGAAGAAACAAGAGAATAAGGGTCTATTATTCTGATTCATCTTTTTGCATTTGTTACCTCACCCTATCGGTTTTCATCTCTGCGTTTTCATCCGTTGGTGTTCTTCTTTGGGTTTGCGTCTCCTTTGCTTCTGGTTTTTATATTTTGTTGTCCCAGTTCTTGAGATGAAAGAACAAAGATGATGGTGATGCTCGTTATTAGTGGTCTTTGGTTCTGCGTGGCTGTTTTTTTTCAGCATATTCTTTTTTTATTTTCTTGCTTTCCCCTGGTTTCCATCTCTGTTTCTCCTTTCCCGAATTCTCTCATCTTTCTTTTAGTCCCTTGTTTGTACCTTTTTCTAGCTCTCCTTTATCTTTTTTTTTTTCTCTCCCTCTCTCTTTTTTTGCTCATTGCCTTTTATTGGCTTTTATAACGTTAGAAAAAGCCTTGTGGTGGTAAAGGCTGACTTAATAATGGTTATGAGACATGCCCTGTAATTAACTCTTTTAATGCCTTTAATGATGAAACATAAACATTGCCTTCAACTATAGAAATAGAGGAAGAAGACAGTGAACAATTGTCCAAGAAACGACTCCATTTTCTAATTCAAATTTCCATTTTTGATTTGGTCCTTAAAGTTTTGAAATTTTTATAA